AGAGTATGGTTCGATATCATCGTGCTTTATGCTCCTTTGAGCAACTGTATAAATATATCGTTAGTATAAGTGTAAGGTCTATCATTCGACTCATACACACTCTCATTAACATTGAGATTTTAATTCTCTGAAATCATTTAAACTTCGGGGCGTCCCCCATTATAAATTCATGGACATGTTTAATCAGAGATAATCTCATGAGAAAAATTCATATGATGACGAGTATATTGGTTTGTGCCTTATCTACCCTCTACTACTTGGGGTGAATAATTAATCGAACCATGTGGCTTCCCTCTATTCCTTTAGAGAGCCACGGCCTCAACCACAACCCCACTGCTTGTGATTGCAATGCTTTCTTCCTTTAGCATTGTTTCTTTTAATTTAAATTCAAACTTATAAATATGTTTGCAGCTAGTGTGTATAATCTGATTACTTAAATCATTTACGATACCACTTTAACTTCAATGTTACATTTTGAAGTCTAAGATTTATCATTGAGACAAAGTAGTGATATACCATCATAATGATTTTGTCATTCAATTAGAGAGTTCTTTCTCTAATCTCCCCCTAATGATAGGAAAATCAATTGTCTCATTAAAGTCATATCCTGCAAAGCGGTGTACACATTATTTGTTAAGGCTAGTAGCGGATTATTGTTGGGGATTCATATCCAACACAAACATCATTTTTCTTTTAAAACCGATTATAATGCGTTGTGGGAGACGCAATAGGCACAACTATTTAACAATCACATATTCATAAGTAGAACATCTCAGGCGAATATCCAGTCACCAACCGGTATACATAAATGTGGTTGTCTAGTATCGGTTTAAAAACAAATGTGCAGGAGTGCTTGCAATATTGCATAATCCCATGAAAATAATTATATATACACATGCGCATAGTAGATATAATATTCATCATCTATGTTCTTTTAAATGTCAGTTTCATTGAGATCTTATTTTGCACATGGGATGCGAGATCTTTTCATTGATCTCGACATATATGCAATAATCATCAAGTATTTTTGATGAGAACTGTCTAGCCGTAACAAGTCATATAGATTTGATTGGTCGGGTGGTGGGCCTTAAATAAACAAGTTTTGCTAGAAGTTTTGCAAATGCAACATTTTTATGCAACAGGAAAATAGACAGCATGAGTAAATTTCTACCAAACCATAATCACTTAAATGGCCCACATTTTGGTAGATGAGTCGTCACATATCACATTGTATTGAAAAAATGAGATATCTTTATTGTTATTTCCTTAGCATATGTGGACATGTCTTGATTCTGTTTTTGCTAAGGAGTAAACTTTAAGAAATAACTGACATGCCTTCTACTATATTTGTAATGCATAATGAAAGGTAAATATTTCTTCTCGTACTTTAGAAGATTGATATTGTTTTTCTATATATCAATGCTAAAACCAACAATTTACATTGTGTTGGATCTCATATCATCCTTTATTCGAATAATTAATAACCTAAATGAGTTATTTCAAAGTTTGTATGAGTCAATGACCACTTTGACTCATAACCTGCTTAAATATGCATTTTCTTTTGCATTTATTAGATGCAATCTAATATTTTTTCTCATTTTTATAGCGAGTTCTATGTAAAAAAACATTGAGGGTACCTTGGTGGACATTGGCATCCTCACATTGTGAGGGTTCGGGGAAGCCCCACAAAGGTATATAAGGTCATTCTTGTTACTTTGACAAGAGACTGGTCACCAGATTCAAACCCATGCCATGACTCCATTCTATGTGAGGACATGGGTACAATTGTTTCAATCATAACTGATTTTAAGGATTACTTCAATAAATATATTCCTTAATTTATTGTACATCACCACAATGTGTTAAATCACCTATTTGTCACAGATTTCAATAATTTACAAATGTCACCCATATACCTTAGAGTGCTATGACCCCAAGTTGACTTTGGTACATATCATTCTACTATTTTGTGGATATATTCCTTTGTATCCATTCTTTTATGAATAAAATTCAAAGATATGCATGTAATGAATTCGAATGCATAAACATCTCAAATATAATTTCAGATGGAACAATGAGATGTTAAATTAATTAAAAATCTCAAACGAATATAATTTATACCAAACTGTAAGACTTGAATAAAAGTCTAATTAGAATTAGTAATGTTCATATTTTTAAAACTCATGAAAGAGTAAAATAAAAAATGGATAAAGCCAATAATTAGAGAGTGTTCTTATTCTCAAAATAGTAGACAATCATGAAACTTAATTTATATTCTCATGCGGTGAATCTCTTATTCTTTAGAGATTCTATGAAGATAAAAACTAAAAGTATATTTTCAAGTTATATATTTCTTGACGAGATAATCACATTTAATCCTCTTATATTAAGGGATTTAATTTAAAATTTATATTTTCAATTTTTTTTATTTGGAAATTTCTTTATCCAAATAACTCTTGGGAGGTTTCTTTATCCCCAAAAAATATTGTAATTGTATTTCAAAAAAAAAACAGATACAATAACAATAAACATCATTCACTAGTGCCAGCTAAAAGCTAGTTAGTTACATAATTATTTAATATATACTGGTGCATTAGTATATGTCTAGAGAAGTATGTGTAAAAATGGTTAATTTTTTTTTTCTATCAAATTAAATAAGCTTTTGTGATTAGCTTTTCACAAAGTGTGCCGGAGTAGCATTGAATTTTAAAATAAGCGTTGAAGATACTCAAGTTCATTTGAGTGCATAATGTCAAACTCCGGTCAAATTGATTGGTCAATTAAATTTGTAGAGCCTTGTGTGGAAATTCTTTATCACACAAATAATTAATATAGAAAACTGAATAATGGTATTCAAATCCGTCCGAGGCCAAAATGCCAAATACAAGTTGAGATGGTCAACCATCTTAAAAAAATTACATGATCATGGGTACATTCATGAACTTGTGTAGTTCATATGATATAAAACAGAAACTTGTGTATAAACAAAATCGATTCTTTGTGTGAAAATTCTTTATCACAAAAAAATAATCATGAGAGTATGTATCTTTGTAGACAATATTTTACAATGCATCGAAGTGATGAGATATATATTCACCTCCTTAAAAAAATCATAGAGATTTTTATATGATGTTATATGGTGTTTTTAATATAGAAAGTATTAATATTGGTCTAGTGAACGGATTAGGCATAAAATATAGTAATCTTACGTGATTATGGTTCCAACTATATGTAAGTGACATATAGCATTACGGAAAAATATAATCACATAATATGTTTAAAATAATTAAAAAAGTGCATAATATGATTTTAATTCCAAGTATATGTATCTAACATATAGCTTTACGGAAAGTATAATCATATAATCATATAAAATACATGAAAATAAGATTAATCGTGTGATCTTTGATTCCAACTATATGTATATGGCATATAGTTTTACGAAAAAGTATGATCACATAGATGTATAAAAACGAAGAGGGATGCATAATGTGATATTAATTCCAACTATATGATTATAACATATAGCATTACGAAATTATAATAAAAAATTGCATCTATCTCTAAAAAAAATGGATGAGGCATATCATCAAACACTTGGGGTGCAAGAAATGGATCTCAAAAAATTGACAACTTAATCTCTAAAAAAAATCAATGATGTTCATCACAATGGTAAACATGATGCAATAAATCATATACATGAGATCCTGCAATGATTTTTGAGTAAAAAAATACCTCAACAGAGATCCGGGAATTGGTGAGTCGCAGGCTAGGAAGGGGGGAGTCCGGGCGACGGTTGGTGTGTTGGGAGGCGGCCAAGCGTGACTGGATTGCTGGCGGCGCGGCCGGACTGCTGGAGGCGCGGCTGCGGATTGAGTGTAGGGAGAACGGGAGAAAAAAATAGGTTTATGGCTACGTGCTGATAACGTGTTGTAGGGAGAATTCGGTGTATAGTTTCATTATCAAAGGCCCTATAAATAGGGAGATATTAGGGTTTACATAGATGGGCCAATGAGTCCATATAATAGATAATTTACATAGAATGATCATAATACATATTATATATACACGATAGCTCACTACACAGAATTTCCTTCAACAAAAAGATGTCATATTTTTGTCTTTTCTATCAATTTTAGTAATATTGATAATAAAAGGCCTTTTAAATACTACTCCCTCCGTTTCTTTAAAATTTTGTCAACTTTCCTTTTTGAGACGTCTCAAAAAACATTGTCATTTTCCTTTTTAATCAACTTTCCTTTTTGAGACGTCTCAAAAAACATTGTCATTTTCCTTTTTAATCAACTTTTACTGGTTTCTGTTATTCCTCTTTCCTCTCCACAAGTCTCAACCACATAGTTTTCATTTTATTATTTTTCATGTCGGTCAAACTTGACAATACTTTAAAAAAGTACTAAATTGAAAGAAGTTAGTCGGAGAAGATGAGGGTAATCCGTTGTTGTTATTTTATAGTGCATAGAGTGGATGAATGCACCCTATTTTATATGCACGTACAAGAAGGTGAATGCATAGAGCAGATGCATGCACGGCGGGCTAAACTAATTGAGAAAGTTAGTTACTTGATATTTAACAGATTTTTGAATGGAGGACTCACGAATAAACTAAACACAATACGATACCTTTGGAACTCTTCGGCGCACTACAAGATACGAAGGAAGAGGACAAAATGTTATTATTGTTTTTTTATTGTTTGTATATATATACTCGTATTTTTCTAGGGTGTACTAAAAATCGAAAGCGGCGGTAGATTAGCGTGGAGGTCGGCAGTAAATGGACAATTATAACCCCACCCACCGGTCACCTATCTTACGACGAAATTAATGAATCGTGAATGGATGATATTGTTGCAGCAGACATGAAAAAAGAAAAAAGAGGATAAATTGGCATAGTGCTCAAAATTTATAAAACAGAATTAATTATTTGATAACCTAGGTAAGCTAGCTAGCTAATAACGGTCCTATGATCTACCGGGAGAAGAGGTAACAACTAACAAGGCCTGCCGGCATCTTTTTCATCATCATCATAATTATTTCACTGTTTGCTTTTGTTTCCCCTATCCTATCCTGCTTTCGCTCTCTTCCTTCCTTGTACCAGGACCGGAGAGTTTCTCCTCTGCCGCCCGCCGCCAGATCTCCGGCCGCCCGCCCGCCCGGCAATCACTCCTTCCTTACCTCCCTCACTGCTCTTTCTTTCTCTCTCTTTACTCACCACCGTCCGATTGAATTGAACACTCAACTCATGTCCCCCTAAAACATCAACATACATAGGTTCTCTTCTATTCAAATCCATCACTCATCCATACCATTTACTTTTTTATTTCAACAACAAATTCTTGTTACATACCTCGCCTTTCTCTTTAACAGATCTGTCTCTCTACAAACAGGCTTTCACAAATGAAATAAATTCTGCTTTTTTCTTTCTTAAATTCACCCACTCTTGCACAATTATAGGCTGGGTGGGGGGAACCGAGGCCGGATGGATTCCGGAATAGGAGGTTGGATTCCGGATTTGAAGACAAACAGTGCAGCTGCTTCTTGGGTTCCACCTACACCCGCAAAGCCCAGTTTCACACCACTATTCGACCCCATCTGCAAATCTGGTAATGAAAACACCCATCAGGTTCAACCACACACCCATCAAGTTTCACTGGATTTTTGCTTGAGCCCAGCACACGTTCAAGGGCAGGGATTCCAGAAATTATTATATAGTCAAAATGAAGAGTGTTTGAGAACAATGTCATATGGGAATCTCTTGGCACTTGCTGAAAGTGCAAATAAACACAAAGCTTTCAGTTCCCTCTTTAGTTCACACAACACAGGTATCAGTTTCTGGAAATTTGTATTTGTTTCTGTAATTGTAAGCATTTTTTTTTGTTTTCAACGTACATCTTCCTCAACATAAAAGGTTGAGCTAATGCAAGATGTTATTGTAATTCTATTACTATTATTGTTATATTCCTCAAATTAATGATAGTGCGTACGAGCTAGCAGGTGGAAGTGCGAGTTGCTCCAGAGCCACTCTCAATTTGAATTTTCCACCTGTGGGAGATGCTGACTCGAGCAGCAGCATCACCTCATTCCAGCAGTTTCCCCCCATCAGCCCCCCAGGGGTTCAGAACAGGGGAATAGCCTTAAATTTAAACACGAATGAGATGCAAGTACCAAGATACATGGAGGAGGGGAATGATACGCTCCAAGAAAAAGTAGAGCTGTCAGTGCTGGTGAAGGAAGTAGCCGCAGACTTGGCGGAGAATCAAAAGCCCGACAAAGGTGGGGAAGTAGGCACAGAAGTGTATGACAAGACACCCCAGCACAAACCAAGAAGGAAGAAGCACAGGCCGAAAGTGGTTGTCGAAGGCAAAGCTAGAAGCAGATGTACGCCCAGAACCCCAAGCAACACTCCAGGCACAGAGGAGGAGAGTAAGACTAAAAGGAGGAGAAGGACTAACATGCAGAGAAAAGTAGTAGAGAAACCTGCTACTGCAGCCACCACTCCCTCAGACGAGGGTCCAAACGTAATAAACCATCTGCCCGCCTCCACCACTCCTAATGAAACATCGAAAGTGGGGAGAAAGCGCTGTAAAAGAAAACAAGGGCCTGCAGCCACCACCCCTACATGTGAGGGTTCAATTGTAATAGATCTTGACACTGATTCCGACGAGAGCCTGCAAGTGGGGACAAGGCATCCTGCTGGGCCACCAGCAGCAGCAGCAAAAGAGGCTTCAAATATAACAACATATCTTGAAAATATGCCCACCGGTTCCAATCACGCGAAAAGAAAGTATGGTAGGAAAAATCAAGGTAGCAAGTCCAAGAAATGTTACAACATGGGAGAGGAGGGGTGCAGGGAAACTACTACTTCTCGACCAGAAGCAGTTTCTCGCCCCAAAAGGATGAACATGTGCAAGCGATCAATATATTTTCCCCACTATGACGGAAATGAGGATTTCCCAGACCCATCTCCATACCCTGCAGGAAAATCCCCAGAAACTACTACTTCTCGACCAGAAGCAGATTCTCGCCCCAAAAGGATGAAAAAGTGCAAGCGATCAATATATTTTCCCCACTATGACATAAAAAAGGATTTCCCAGACCCATCTCCATACCCTGCAGGAAAATCCCCAGAAACTACTACTTCTCGACCAGAAGCAGTTTCTTGCCTTAAAAGGATGAACACCTGCAAGCGATCAATATATTTTCCCCACTATGACGCAAATGAGGATTTCCCAGACCCATCTCCATACCCTGCAGGAAAATCCCCGGAAACTACTACTTCTCAACCAGAAGCAGTTTCTCGCCCCAAAAGGATGAACATCTGCAAGCGATCAATATATTTTCCTCACTGTGACGCAAATGAGGATTTCCCAGACCTATCTTCATACCCTGCAGGAAAATCCCCGGAAACTACTACTTCTCGACCAGAAGCAGTTTCTCGCAGCAAAAGGACCTGCAAGAGATCAATATTTCCCCCCCACAATGACACAAATGAGGGTTTCCCAAACCCATCTTCAAACCCTGCAGGAAAATTCCATGTGCTGCAGCAACTGTTTCAACAAGAACAAAAAGATGATGCTCAACTGACTGAAGTGGACATTGCTTATGAAGACACAAATCGAATGAACAGTCAGATCAGGAAGTCCCTTTTACAGCCAGGAATACAAGTTCCTCTTGATCCATCAACTCCCAGCAAGTTCGATCCATCGTACGACCACTTGATGATGGCTGGACATCAAGTGAGAGGAAAGTGTAAATTCATTTTTTCAGATGACAGAGATAAAAGTATGTATGTTGGACCACAATGTTTGAAGGGTAGCCATAACAGCTCCTCTAACTTTCGCAGCCACAATGTATTCTCGACTGAGAGAGCCACAGTAAGTGAGTCGAAGACGTGGCAGGACTCAAGCTTTGCTGAAGAAGAAAAGTACAATACAAATGTTGCTGGACTTCATTGGAATTCTTTGCAGGCATACAAACAATTTCTTTCACTCGATCGAGACATGATGGACAGAATCAGTGGGATGCATTTTCCTACAATTCATAAGAATAAAAGGACTGAGAAGGGGCACGTTCCTGCATCGCCTTGTGCTAAAAGTATGGAAACTGAAGCTCACCACATGACCCATGCATGTCAATTTGAGGAAGGTGCTTCCTTGGCTAAAAAAGCTGCAAGCGGATCTCCGCCTCCCATGCACCTTCCCACATTGAACATTGACATGTTGAAAAGGAAAAGATCAAAAGGTCTCACTCGGGTGTGTGATGCGGCATCCTTGGATGAGATTTACAATCCCTTCCCAAATTCATCATCTAGAAAAGCAGCAGCAAAACAGAAACAACAACAAATGACGATGTTCAACGATTCATGCATGATTATGGGAACTCATGTTGCTGATGCTTGCCTAACCATGGTCACAAAAAAGCATGCAAAAAGAAACAGTCTTAATGGTATGTATGTTCAACATCGATTTTTATTTGGCATTTTAATTTAACATATTAGAGAAATAATTAACTAACCATAATCGTGTCTTGCTCACCTTTTCATATGACATATGATTCAGGCCATCTGCCTGCTCTCACATGGAAAGACATTTCTCCAATTGACGAAATTGTGCAACGGCTAAGATGTCTCAACATAAATGATGATCATCAAGGTCGGTACAATCTTGGTACTGGCAATGCCAAGTACCAAAGGGAAACTTCCCTCGTTCTTTATCGAAGAGATGGAACCATTGCCCCTTTTGTAGAGGTTAAAAAGAGGAGACCTAGGCCAAAAGTTGATCTTGATGATGAGACAACTAGAGTGTGGAAACTCTTGCTGCAAGATATAAACAGCCAAGGCATAGACGGAACGGATGAAGAGAAGGCTAAGTGGTGGGAAGAAGAGCGGAAAGTGTTCCGTGGAAGAGCAGATTCCTTTATCGCCCGCATGCGTCTTGTCCAAGGTAAACCATTGAAGTTTCAACATCCATAGTGTCCATGTAATTTAAAATTCTATGTAGACAGTGAATGGTTTTGACCTTCCCTTTTTTACTTCCTGGAACAGGCGACAGGCGCTTCTCGCCATGGAAGGGGTCTGTCGTAGATTCTGTGGTTGGGGTTTTTCTAACTCAAAATGTTTCGGATCACCTCTCCAGGTCAGCCAACTTCTGAATTGTAACTTTTATGTTTACTTTATAGCCAACCAAAGTTGCAGCATGAATTTGCTCTTGTTGCAGTTCTGCTTTCATGTCACTTGCTGCAAGGTTCCCGCTGAAATCTAATACCAGAGCAGAATTTCATGGAGAGAGAACAAATGTGATTGTTGAAGAACCAGTCTGTGTGATGGACCCTGATGAAAAAATTACATGGCATCAAGGTCCCTCTAATAAACCAACTCCTGGTCAAGATTCCATGGCTCTCAGGGACACGGGTGGGAATGAAGAAGTTATCAACAGTGAGTTGACTGAAGATACCTTGGATTTTGTTATGTCAACAGAAAGATCTACAGCCAAAGGTTTCAGTTCTGAGAAATATCGAGATGTTTATCATGGATTGACATTAGATAGGCCGGCAAGTTGGACCAACAAGGAAGAGGCAAGTTCCCACAGCAGCCAAACAGAAACAGACATTGTATTGTCCTCTCAGAATTCTGGAGTTTTCTCACAGAGCTCTGTGGACTCTTCACGTGTTCAAACTGCTGACAGAAAAGAATCCACCATTCTTAGCAGCACTAAATCTTTCGTCCAACTATTAGAGATGGCAGGAACTTCCATGCTACATGGGGTGTACCATCAGGAAAACAGCTTAGTTAATATGGACATGCTAAACCAAGGAACGGATTATTCTATGGAGTTGCAGAAGAACAGGGAAGATGGCAGGGGCTCTTTAGACACCATTGCTTCTTGCAGTACTGATGACAAACTTCCTGGAGAACACTATGCCCCTGAACAAAGTGATTCGTCAACAAAGTCACTGAACCAAGCAACTAATCAGGAGATCCAACTCCTACCTGGTCAAACTGACAAGCCTTGCAGTAGTAATCAAATTGAGATGAATGTGAGAATAGAGAACAATCCAACAACAGGTTTCAATTTGCCGATTCATACTGAAGAAAGTAACTATTACGTGCCGCTAGATCACAAGTGCCCTACATCATTGGAGATTCAGGTTATCACAGAGAGAGCTGGCAGTAGCATTGTTCGTTCACAATCGATTTCAGATGGCCAGAATAACAGAAATCTTGATACTGTTGATAGAATGAGCAGCAAGACCTCTAGATCAAAAGGGGGGAGGCCTCGGAGAGAGAAAGAGGAATTAGTGAATTGGGACATATTAAGGGAAGAGGCTCAGGCAAGTGGAAAGAAAAGAGAGAAAACAATGAACACATCGGACTCATTGGACTGGGAAGCGGTAAGATGTGCTAATGTCCATGAGATTGCAGAAACCATCAAAGAGAGAGGAATGAACAACATGCTCGCAGAGAGAATACAGGTGCATTCAATGAATATATGGCTTTAATAATATTTCCTCTAATGCAAGCTCCAATTAGTCTCCTTCACGTTCTTAATATTGCATTGTGGTGAAAACAAAAATTGAGAAGGAATAATAAAATGAGAAGTATTGCAGGAGTTCCTAAATAGGCTTGTTAAAGAACATGGTAGCACTGATTTAGAATGGCTAAGAGATGTTCCACCAGACAAAGCAAAGTAAGTGCATAACTTTCTAACATTACTGATCAGCTCCATAAAACATTGTTATTATGACCTTGAACGTGTTATTCAATGTCTACCGTTTCAGAGAGTATCTACTGAGCTTCAGGGGGTTGGGTTTGAAAAGTGTGGAGTGTGTCCGGCTTTTGACGCTCCACCATCTAGCTTTCCCAGTAAGATTTCGCTTCAATTACACAATGCAAATCATTGCAAGTAAAAAAATCATGTACCTGACTTATGTGTTCTAATAAGGTTGACACAAATGTTGGACGGATAGCTGTAAGACTTGGGTGGGTGCCTCTGCAGCCATTGCCTGAGTCACTACAATTGCACCTTCTAGAGCTGTAAGTGAAGTGCTTTCACTGCTGCAGAACTTTTCACATCCGTTGTGCAATGGTAGACTGATACAGATATACTTATGTAGGTACCCAATCTTGGAATCCATCCAAAAGTATCTTTGGCCACGACTCTGCAAGCTTGATCAAGGAACACTGTAAGTGCAACTTCCTACGGGAGGTGATGAGATAATTGGTTTTGTTCTTGAGTGCCACAATGTCAAGAGCTGATACAATATTCTATGTAATTCCAGATACGAGCTGCATTACCATATGATAACATTTGGGAAGGTCTGAAACTGCTATTATATGTCTCATAATGCCAACCAATTATCTTATTTCTGTTAAAAGCTAACATCGGTATACTACAACTTCGATAGGTGTTTTGTACAAAGAGCAAACCAAATTGTAATGCATGTCCAATGAGAGGAGAATGCAGACATTTTGCAAGTGCATTTGCCAGGTCTGTCTTTTATCATTCTGGTTTGAGTACATCAAAATCGTCTACCAGTTTCTACTTTTCATTCTAGTTGTAATGTTTTGGTTTTTTCACTAGAACAGTGGCAACTCTATTATGTTACAATTGGGGTTAACAATCCCCACTGGGTTTTTTCAGTACTATATAAATTTTATATATTTTGTTTGTTTAAAAAATAGAGTTTAATGCTGCTTATAATATCTGATTAAAAAAGGAGATGAGCACAAAGAACTTGAATGTAATATGGATTTAAATTCTGCAGTCACAACTACACAAGAATCTGCAAAATTTTCACTAGTTGGTATTAGACAAACACAAAGTCACATGCATATTCATGTAATCATGTTAGACTTAATAATCAATAACATTGTTTAAATGAATGAGTCACGGGTCAAGTGTGAAATATTATGCATTTTCATGAAGTGGCCTAATGATTATGGTCGTTGTAGTGCAAGGCTTGCACTTCCTGCTGCACCAGAGGAAAAAAAAATCGTGAAAGCAATTGAAAGCAGACCCACTCAACAAAACCCAAGAGACAATATCAGTCTGCTGCAGCTGTCCTTACCTGAGAGCAGCAGCTATCCAGAAACAGTAGCACAGTATGGTGGCAGCAACTCCCAACCTATTATTGAAGAGCCAGCAACACCAGAGCCCATAGTTGAAATTCCTGACACACCAGTGCAAGAGCAAACACCTGACATTGAGGATGCATACAATGATGATTCTAATGAAATTCCAACGATTAATCTAAACCTGATTCAGTTCGCTCAAAACGTAAAGATGTTTGTGCAAAACAGCATGGAGCTTAATCATGTTGAAATGTCAAATGCTTTGGTTGCATTAACACCTGAAGCTGCTTCCATTCCAATGCCTAAACTCAAAAATATTAGCCGGCTCAGAACCGAACATCATGTGTAAGTATATATGCACTATATTGATATATTCTCCCCCACTGAGCTGATTGTGAGTGACTGTTTGTGTGAGCATGTTGTCCTCTCAGGCACAACGATTGAAATATTAGTGCCTTCACTTCACTTTTTTTCTATTTTGCAGCTATGAGCTTCCAGATCATCATCCTCTTCTAGATGGGGTCAGTGAGTTGAATTTGCTTAATATGTGACTTGTAATAAGTGCACACATGAGGACTTCTTCAGAACTTGTACTTTCTTCTTATTTGCAGTTAGAAAAAAGAGATCCAGATGATCCCTGCTCTTACCTTTTGGCCATATGGACACCTGGTAATAGAAAAGCATGCAGTGTCTGGCTCGCAGCATTACATTCATCTTAAATAACATAATCACTTCAAGAAGGTTCATAAACACTATACATATTTGTTTCCTCTCTTTTTTATTTCAATATCAGGTGAAACTGCAAGCTCTATTCAGCCCCCAGAAAGGCTTTGTAATTCCCAAGAACTTGGCAAGCTATGTCATGAGGAAACCTGCTTTGCATGCAATAGCTTTCGAGAAGCAGAATCTCAAACTGTGCGTGGGACAATTCTGGTAAGGGCGGCCATACAAATACTAACCTAATATAAAAGTCCAATGGCCAAAAGGCACGAGTATATAGCATCCTCCTCCATTCAACCAAACATTGTAATAATGATAAAATGGTGGTGTTAGCAGATACCCTGCCGAACAGCAATGAGAGGAAGCTTTCCCTTAAACGGAACATACTTTCAGGTCAATGAGGTAGTGTCATTAATCATTATGTCGGAGCTCATTTAAGCAACCATACAATACCAATGCCAGATCAAAGTATCATTTTCCTGCAAATGGTTTTCTCAGATGTATAAAGTTAAATTAAAAAATGAACAGGTGTTCGCTGATCATGAATCCAGCCTAAACCCAATTGATGTTCCAAGAGATTGGTTGTGGGATTTACACCGCAAAACTGTGTTCTTTGGAACCTCAATACCAACAATATTCAAAGGTAAAAAACGACTGACAAATTAAAGTGATCCACTGCATTACTAGAGTAGTTTTGATATTGTCTGATATGTGCCTGACTGTTTATATAGGCCTATCGACTGAAGATATCCAACATTGCTTCTGGAGAGGTACGTGAATAAGATGCTACGAAAGTCAAAAGTTTCTACTTGTCTGTAGAACTGAAAAACTTATGTTTGAGAGCTCTCCATAAATAAGAGTGAAAATGTACAAGTCATAAAGTATCTCAGGCACAGGCTATAAACTACTTTTTAAAATAAGGGAAAAGTGTTTTCGGTCAGTACTATTAATTTAATCATAAAATCTACTAGCAGAAATAGATAAGCGTGACTCCATTATACGGGATTGGAAAAGGAGTTCACGTTATTCATAAATCTCATCTTTCATTACTTGCAATTGGATAATTAGATGCTGAACCCTTTTCTCATAATCAAACAATAGTAGGGTATGGAATTATTAACAACTGTAGGAGTAATGATAGAAGCAGAAAACCCTAGCAGACGATAATAACATCTCCCCATCCTTAGGCTCAAACCAAATCTTTATTCTCGATAATCAATAATAGTTCATAAGACCTCCTTAAATACTAATTAACCTAATAATCAAATAAGGCCATCTAGGCCCAACAGTTTATTAGAATTAACAATTGAATGATATAAAGTAATAAAATCCAGCAGTGAACCCAGCCCATCTAGGCCCGCTGGCGGCGACAGTAAACAATTAACGGGCGAGGGCCGTCCTCCTGAAGTAGCGGCCCAGTTGCCTCCTCCTGGAGCATCCGCCCAAATGCCTCCCACTCTGTAACAAGTAACAAGAAACTGGGAAAAAGGAAAAAGAAATTGTCTTATTTCTACATCCTCCTGTGCTTTTTTGGTTCTCTAACCATTTATTTGAATAGAAATTATTCTTAATAGGACTAAAACTTAGAAAAAATGCACAAATAAGAGTACATGTATTTTATTTCCGAAATAGGACTTATTTGATCCTATTAAAAGTATAAAACTTTCGCTATTAAGAGTGAATAAGTTCTATTTTAGGAAGAAAACAATGATAGTTCTATATGTGTACTTTATTTATGTTTTAGTCTTATATAAGGAATTTTCTCTGAATTTGAAAATCCCTTGCGGTCTCTAGTTTATTCATATCCATTTTCCACGGCAAGTTGCAACCATTTCTTTTCAGGGTATGTTTGTGTACGAGGGTTTGAACGGAAGACACGAGCTCCTCGACCACTAATGGCACGATTGCACTTTCCAGCCAGTAAAATGGCAAAAACGAAGATGAGTACGGATGAAACCAAGGCTTAACCCTGCTGCTTCGGGCATAGACACTTCATAGCCGCAGCTCATTACAGATGATGGTGGCGCATCATTTGATGACACCTATTATAATTATGCTGCTGCTTTTCAGAAATAGCTAGGCATTTAGTTGTAAATATATTCTAAAAATTCCGAGTAATGATGTAATCATTTGTTCCTCAAAACTATTAGACAGAAGAGAAGTAGTACTAATGTATCCGTCAAATAAGGAGTGTTGTCTCACATCGGTTAGCACTGAGCAAAGGCTATGTTGACCTTTTTTTATTCCTTCATCACGTCGGGTAAAATATTTATTTTTACACTCGTACACACAATGCGAGATAACTCATGCCTAATATAAAAGAAGAATTAATTGCATATATGATTATATTGGGAATAATTTATATACAATATATTTTAGAATATCCTCCATATCCAGGCATGGACCGGTTCGGGCCCGGGCCCGGCCGGGCCTCGGTTCAAGAAGGGGAGGCCCGGAACCGGCCCGGGTAACCCCTGGGTCTGGGTCTGGGCCGGGCCTCGGTTCAATTTTTTTTTTTTGGCTTTTCCTAGTTAACCCCCAACCCTCCCCTCACCCCCAAACCAACCCTAACCACCTCAAATGGCTCAAAATACCCAGCCCAACCCAAAAACTTAAAAAAAAAATTCAAAAAAAAAAAAATTAGCCCGGCCAGGGCCCGAACCGGTCGGGCCGGTTCACCTTTTGAAGGGCCCGAGCCCGAACCGCCATCCCACCGGGCCGGTTGGCCCGAACCGGGCCCGGAACCGGTTCACCGGGCCGGGCCGGGTCGGACCCGCACAGTAGCGGGCCGGTCCGGTTCCGGGCCGGTTGGCCCGGGCCGAGTCCACCCCTATCCATATCTCTCGTAAGTTACCATAGCTTTGTGTACAAATATAGCAGGTGTATATTTTAGTTAATACTTGTCTATTAAATCAGGAACTATCTAAGGAAACAACTCATGTATATAGTTCGGCAGTCTACACATGAATAAACAGTTCGATTCTTTCAGTTCACATGATACTTTATGTATCAGAGCCATGATAATCGATCTCTTGGCGATCGGCATTCTCCATGAGTGGTGGAACAAATTCTTCCCAAAGTCAGATTTATGCTCTCTTCAAATGATAAACTAGGGACGATTATTACTCTTGTTGTGTTAAAGGGGCGCAATTATGAAGAATGGGCAAGAGGTTTTCACATATCTCTTCGTGCCAAAAGGAAGCTTGTGTTCATCGACGGGACTCTGAAACAACCAGGCGAAGGTTCTTCGGAAATCGAGGATTGGTGGACAAACAATTCCACGATAGTGGCCTGGATGTTCAACACGATTGATGCTTCGCTTCGGGCTTCAATCGGTCCTATGGGAAGACATCAAAGAAAGATTTCCAGTGGGCAATGGAGTGGGCTTCAATCTTTGAAATCTCCGATTGCAAAGAAAAAGATGGTGCATGAGACGATTATGAGTTATTATGGACGTTTAAAGAAATTGTGGGATGATTTGAATGGGACTTGAACCATTTTATGAAAATATCAGGTCGAGCTTGTTGGGAATAGAACCTCTGCCATGTCTGAATGTCGTAAACTCTAGGCTGATTCAAGAAGAGGAAGTAAGGACGACCACTGGTGCTCAGGGAGAAGAAATTAATCCTATAAGTTGAGGAAATGCTCCTGGCGGACAGTCGTGTGCACCTCTTTTTGTTCAAAGTCGGGGCATTTTGAAGAAAGGTGTTTTGCCAAACACGGGTATCCAGATGGCTGGTCCAAGCGGATTCCGCAATACATCTTCCGGTCAACAACCAAAGCTAATGTCGCTCACGCCGCAAAATTGTTGGGGTATTTCAAGTAGGACTGATAATCGAGTACTTGGATTGCTTAAGGATCGTGTAAGTTCATTTTCCGAATTGATATTTCTCTCCTATGTCTGGGTTACAAGAAATTCAATCTAGGATAATCCTTAAGGACACTCTAGAACTTAAGCACAAGAACTAGAGTCAAACTAGTGAGTATATGGATTGATATCTTAAGCTGAATGCCAAAAATGATGAAGATATGTTGGATATGTTTCCTCATCCTTCTCTGTACGAAATATGGTGATATATAACCATATTACACGTCCTGGACAGTTGCAACACGATCTGGAATAACTGTGACAGTTTTTGAAAAAACTGCACGAAACTGCCCAACCGCTCTAGACCTCGGTCTAGAACTACAGAGTTGGTCTACTGAGTGTTCTACCTCGAGTTCCACTGCCGTAGACACTTTGGAATAGAACTCGTTCTTATGTACAAGTGTGCACTCCACACCTCCTAGCTTGTATTAGAACACGGTTCTAATCCTCATTGGCACTCATGTCATTTCCAATTACACAAAACGGCCGTTGACACTAAAATCACCAACAATCCTCCCTCATTTTAGTGTAACCCATGAAATGACATAACAAAGTTCACAAACCAAAACTTGCACATAAATGAAAATGTCGATACGATTGAATTTCCATCTTAGTATTTTACACATTCAAACTATTCGAGAATCGGGGTGTCCTACGGATTGAACCCTTCAACTAGGGGTGGACTCGAGCCGGGCCAACTGGCCCGGAACCGGACCGGCCCGCTACTGTGCGGGCCCGGACCGGCCCGGTGAACCGGTTGGTTGGCCGGTTCGGGCCACCCGTCCCGGTGGGATCTCGGTTCGGGCTCGGGCCCTTCAACCCATTTGAATACCTCAAGATAAAATACATACAAGTTTCTATCCTCAACTAGAATACAATTTGACACAATTATAAAGCCGTGTGTCCTAATCCCATTCATGATCGTATAAAAGTCAAGTCCTAAGCTTTTTGAAGTGCAGCTACACTTCACGATCATATAGGTAATTCCTTTACTCGTGTACCTGCTTACACTTTATCAAAGGAATTATTAAGAAATAAATTCAGCCTCCCTACTACAGGTCCGAACACACACCTTAGGATGATTTTCATTGTGTGTTCCAATCCATTAAGTGTGAGCTTTCCGCATTGAATTCAGCCTCTAACGTTGTATTAGAGGGGAATTGGGTGTCTCACCATTAAGGATTAAATGGACTTTAAACTCATCCCTATAACAGACTTGTGCACTAAGTCCCGAGCCAAACTTTTGGTCAAGTGGTCCGCCAAATTATGTTGTGATCTTACAAATTCCACCGAAATTACACCATTCACGATTAGTTCTCTAATCATACTATGTCTAACACCTAAGTGTCTAGACTTGCCATTATAAACATGACTATACGCCTTAGCCAAAGTGGCAGCACTATCACAATGGATATAATTAGGTGCAATCGGCTTCCTCCACAATGGAATCTCAAATATTAAATTTCCTAACCACTCCGCCTCTTTACCGGCGGTAGCCAACACAACAAACTCAGATTCCACTGTTGAACTTGTGATACAAGTTTGCTTCTTGGATGCCCAAGAAATGGCACCTCCCCCAAGCAAAAAAACCCAACCACTTGTAGAAGAATGATCCTCTACATTGGATATCCAACTTGCATCCGAATATCCTTCTAAAACCAAAGGATACTCAAAGTAACACAAACCATAATTCATGGTTCCCTTTAAATACTTGAACACTCTCTTCATTGTTTGTCAATGTTGAGTACTAGGATTACTAGTATATCGGCTCAACCTACCCACGGCATAAGCAATATCCGGCCTAGTGCTTGTCATGGCATACATCAAACTACCAATAGCTTGAGAGTACTCAAGTTGTGAGACCACCTTTTCTTTATTAGCCATCAACTTCACACTAGGATTCATGGGAGTACCAACGGGTGAACAATCACTATAATTAAACCTTTTGAGAATATTCTCAACATAGTGAGCTTGTGTCAAAGCAATCCATTTGTTTACCTGTTTAATCCTTATACCAAGGATCACATCCGCCTCCCCCATGTCCTTCATGGAAAACCTTGATGATAGCAACCTTTTGGTTTCATCAACCTGATTTTGGTCAGTTCCAAAAATCAGCATGTCATCAACATAGAGACATATGATCACACCCGCCCTTAAGTTATCAAATCGGCTATAGACACACTTGTCCGATTGGTTTAAACTAAAACCATTGGCAAATCCGACAACACCCAAGTGTTGTTCTCCATAATTGATGACATTTCATCATCAATTGCCTCCTTCCAAAAGACAACATCTCGGGATTCCGTTGCCTCTTTAAAGGACTTTGGATCATCCTCAACTTGGTAACAATATGAATATTGTACCCCCACTTCATCCCTTGAACCTTCCACTAAATACAAGTGAAAATCGGGACCAAAGTCTTTCACGATGCGGTCTCGTTTGCTTTTCCTTATTTGTGATGCTTCGGGATTCAAAACACCATCCAAACATTCTGGAACTTGCACCTCACTAGTTCTTGGAACTAGTTCCTTTGGTCTTTGAATTGATGAAAATCTCATCTCATCAAAGATCACATCCCGAGACTCAATCACGGTGTTAACCGCTACCGCATCATTAGGTTCTATTACATAAAACCTATAAGCCTTGGAATGTTCAGCATACCCTATGAATATGCAATCAATTCCCCTTTCCCCCAAATTTTTCCTTTTGGGCTCGAGCAATTTTACAACCGCCCTACAACCCCAAACCCGAAAATATTTCAAATTCGGCGCTTTCTTGTACCAAAGCTCATATGGGGTTATCTTGTTCCTTTTATTTGGAACCCTATTTAGAACATAGCAGACCGTGAGCATGGCCTCTCCCCAAAACACTTCACTCAAACCCGAGTAGGAAAGCATGGAATTAACCATTTCCTTTAACACTCGATTTTTCCGTTCGGCCACACCATTTTGTTGTGGTGTATACGGAGTCGTGGTCTCATTAATGGGGATCCATTAATGATTCCAACAGATTGAAAATAATGGGGATCCATATATTCTCCTCCCCGATCAGTCCTAAGACATTTAATCGGATTACCCAATTGCAATTCAACCTCGGTTTTATACACTTTAAATTTCTCTAAAGCTTCATCCTTAGTGTGTAATAAATACACATAACAAAACCGAGTTGAATCCTCAATAAAAGTAACAACATACTTTTTATTGCCAAGGGAAGAAGTTGAGTGAAAGTCACATAGATCACTATGTACAAGATCCAAAATAGCCGAATTACTATCAACATTAGGAAACGGTTGTTTTGTGATCTTAGTAAGCATGCAAGTCCTACACTTATCATCATTAATATCAAAAGCCGGAATTAAACCATCTTTAGACATTTCATGCATGTTTCTAAAATTAACGTGAGCTAATCTAGCATGCCAAATCATACAATCTATCATGGAAGATGCCACAAAAACAGAATTATCACTAGAAATTAATTT